CCCCTCAATGAAGCGAAGGCGTTCTGTGCCCTTAGCAGAAAAACAGCCCCAAAGCATAATGTTTCCACCTCCGTGCTTGACTGTAGGGATGGTGTTTTTGGGGTCATTTCCCTCCCTCCAAACACGGCGAGTTGAGTTAATGCCAAAGAGCTCAATTTTGGTCTCATCTGACCACAGCACTTTCTCCCAAGCCTTCTCTGAATCATTTAGATGTTCTTTGGCAAACTTTAAACGGGCCTGTACATGTGCCTTCTTGAGCAGGGGGACCTTGCAGGCGCTGCAGGATTTCAGTCCATTGCAGCGTAGTGTGTTACCAATGTTTTGCTTCGTGACTGTGGTCCCAACTGCCTTAAGATCATTAACAAGCTCCTCCCATGTAGTTCGGGGCTGATCCCTCACCTTTCTCATGATCATCCTTACCCCATGAGGCGAGATCTTGCACGGAGCTCCAGGCCGAGGCCGATTGATGGTTATTTTGTATTTCTTATATTTACGAATAATCGCACCAACGGTTGTTTCCTTCTCACCAAGCTTCTTGCAGATGGTCTTGTAGCCCATTCCAGCCTTGTGCAGATCTACAATCTTGTCTCTGGCATCCTTTGACAGCTCTTTGGTCTTGCCCATGGTGGTGGGAGAGGTTGGAATGGAAGATACAGATTGTGTGGACAGGTGTCTTATACACCTAATGAGCTGATATTAGGAGTAACTTCTTAAAGTGGGAGCCAGAATTCTTGCTGGTTTGTAGGGGATCAAATACTTATTTCACTCCCTGAAATGCAAATCAATTTCTAACCTTTATATAATGTGTTTTTTCTGGATTTTTTTGTTGATATTCTGTCTCTATCCGTTAAAATAAACCTACCATAAAAATTACAGACCCTTCATTTCTCTGTAAGTGGGCAAACTTACAAAATCAGCAGGGGATCAAATAAATATTTCCCCCACTGTAATCAGACTAAAATGCGCTGTCATTTCTTTAGTGCATGAGAATTCCTAAACGCACAAGCCTGACTGGTCTCGATAACGCGACCACTAAACAGCACTGTGAGATTCCGTGAGAAGCATTCGAGTTCGGCACAGAGGTCTCCGATTCAACCCACAAATGTCGCGGTGAATTAACCCTTGTGCGTCAATTAAAAAAAGTTACACATAGGTCCATAGTGGACAAAAATGTCCATGTCAAAAAACTGTCATAAAAATTTGAAGCTTGGGAGCACAGAGTTACGTTTGGTCTCATTTTAAAGAAGACCCATGGCAGATTATTGTTGAAGTAAAAAAAGTTTAAAAAGTGAAACCCCCAAAAAAGTTCTAGATGTTTAGGTTTATGAAAATGATTTATGAATGATGTTTTATATAAAATATATATTTTATGAAATATATTGAACTCTATACCTGCTAGAAAATCAAAGCCATAAATCTAAACAAGTTGTATTCCAAATTTGAGGTTGATATCTCAAAAAATGAGCTTTCAGTAAGATTTTGTTTGGGC